CTATTGATTTTATCTATACATGTTCCATGGTTGTGACAGGGAGAGCTTGAGCATTCATTAATATCAACTCTGCAAGTGCGCCCTGTATAGCCTCGCTTACAAATACACTGAAAGTCATTTATCAGATCAGTGCAAGTCCCTCCGTTTAAGCACGGGATTTGTGCACATTCATCAATATTTATTTCACACTTAAGCCCAGTAAATCCCTCTAGACAGACGCATGCGTATTCATCAGCACCGTCAATGCACGTCCCTTCATTAAAGCAAGTGGCATTTTGGCAGTCATCAATGTTGTACTGACATTGGTCTCCACTAAAACCATCTGCACACTGACAAGAGTAAGAGGCTGGGCCTTCAAGGCAAGATGCATTGTTTAAGCATGGCATCGAGGCGCAATGGTCGATGTTCCAACTGCACGTATTTCCTGTGAAACCTGGTTGGCACGCGCATGCGAATTCGTTGATACCATCATGGCAAGTACCGTTGTTCGAACAAGGATTAGACGCACAATCATCTATGTTATTTTCGCAGTGGATACCATCAAATCCATCATTGCACTCGCAGTGGTAGCCGTTAATCTTGTCGATACACCTTGAGATAAATTTCAGAAGAAAAATAAATAGTTTGTGAAGGACTGCCTTTTTGGTCCTAATAAGCTGTAGTTTTGGAATTTAATGTCTATCTGTTTGAATTGACGCTGGAACATAAAGTGGGGTCCCCCCTCTCCCCGATTTTCTTTAAACTGTTTTGTGTTAGATAGCCGCTATAATTTTGAATGTCTTCAAAGGTCCCAAATATAATTATCATCTTGTATAGTTCATTGGTAGGTAAGACGGGTACAATCTTTCCTTTGGAGAAAAATGCATTAGCTATTAAAGAGACATGCTTTATCCATAATGTGATGTTTAATGTTATTATTACTCCTAGTTTTAGTTAATTTTTCTGTGAGAGTGTATGCTATGTCTTAAACTTATGAGGCCAGTTTTCAGATTAAAATCCTCAAGCTTAAGCTTTCTTGCTAGCAAAAAATTCGGTTATGGACATATTGTTGAAGATGTTTCCATCGTTAACAGAAAGAGAGAAAGGAAGACAGGAAGAAAAAAAAAATGAAAAAGAAAAAGGAATGGATTAAAATAGAGAACAGCAAAGATATTGTCAGAGTACAACTACTAACCTGGCTTCATTCAAACAAGGATTTGAGTCGCATTCATCAATATTCAATTCGCACTTTTTACCAGTGAATCCTTCGGGGCAAATACATTGAAATCCATTGACCTGATCAAAACAGGCCGCGTTATTCTTGCATTCTACATTGAAACAATCATCAATGTTTTCCTCGCAATTTTTACCGTGAAAACCGGAGTTACAGATGCAGTGGTAGCTGCCGATTCCATCCACACATGTAGCTTCATTCTGGCAAAGGTCTGATGCACACTCATCAATGTTCTCCTCACAGTCATTGCCCTGGTAACCTGTACAGAACACGCATAAGATCATCACGTGTTATTTGTTACTATATATATCTTGCATTACTTGTACTGTAACTTGGTATTACGTAGAGATAGAGATTCATAGTTACGTTAGAGACCTTTGCAGTGCGCTCTAACGTAATTAAATTCTGTACAACACTATCGACACTGACAATTCCTTTCTAGATCAATCTATAAAAGTATTGGCAAGAGCAATTGACTGACCAGTCACACAGTGGCATGTATAGTTGTTCGCCCCATCTTCGCAAGTCCCTCCGTTCTGGCAAGAGGCTAGCAAGCAGTAGTCTATGTCCGTATCGCACAACCTTCCAGTATAACCTGGTTCGCACTGGCACCTAAATCCACCAGGAATATTGCTACATGAAGCATGGTTTGAACAAGGTGATGAGATACACTCATCAACATCATTTTCACAGTTAAATCCTTGGAATCCTTGTGGGCATGTGCAGGTGTAATTATTTATCAAGTCATGGCATGTGCCATTGTTCAGACAAGGTTGGTCCTGGCAATCATCAACATTGGTCTCGCACTGTTTGCCAGTGTATCCAAGCTGACAGGTGCACATGAAGTCATCAATGAGGTCCATGCATACAAAATTGTTCTTACAGGGATTTGGCTCGCAGTTATTAATTTCTAAGAAAAAAAGAGAGAGAAAGGAAAAGATTGTTGAAAGAAACCGAAATGCGTCGACGGAATTAAAACTGTGGTTAGAGGGAGCAAAGAAAGTTGTAAACCTGCAACTTCGGTATGTCGAAATATAAGTTCACCTTGACAATCCTTTAAACCTTTGGACCCTTCTTGAAGTGCCACTGTTGTCCCTGGGCACGGGACGCAGGCGCGACTTTCAATGTGAGGCTGAAACGAGCGTCGATTGCACAGCGTACATGGAACCAAGCCAGTTGGAGAAAACGAACCAGGAGGACAGGGGACTAATAAAAAACAAAATATAATAAAGGCTGCAAGTTACTTGGTGATATATTTTTTTATTACCATGTAAGACAAATTTTCTTGTCTGAATTATATGTATAGGTTAATCCGCCACTGAGTCTGGATAATATTTTATGACCTCTTCTAACTCTCTTAAATTAATTTACTCTTGACTTTAGTGGTTGACAAAGTTCGTTCTTTAAAAAAATGGCACCCGTGTTAATGCTAGAAACGAGGAAATATCCTGTAAATTTTTGCTATGTTTTCTGGATCATACTTTTCTACCCCATTACCTACCTCTACACTCCTTTGGGGCAGTGGATCCGATGCCAGGAGTCGTTGTGGCTGAGATGCATTTAAAACACCCTTTTTGTCCCTCTTTCTCTTGATAAAAGCCCTTTTCGCACGAGATGCAAGGCTCCAGTCCCGTAGGCGAATATGATCCAGCCTTGCAAAAAGCTTTGAAAAGAAGACACAACCAAAAACGTTGTAACAAAGACTACACTGAGTTTATATGTCAATTTCTCCCCACTCCTTGGCGCATATTTGCTATTATTGATTGTACGCAGCATTTTCAAAGGCGATTTTAAGCAATTATTGGATGAGATTTTCTGTGGTATCCGTAATAATCAAGGTCGAGGTAACTGTTATCAGCCGAGCCGCAGGCCGAGGCCGATAAAACACTTGCCGAAACCTTGATTATTTCAGATATCACAAAAACTGAATCTAATTATTGTTTAATTACATAGTCATTGTTACGCAAAATAAGAAGAGTGAAAATGACAGTGACGATTGAGGAGAAATTCGTACTTAACTAAATAGAGGCCATTAATGTATTATACTTCTGTACAAACCTAGACAACTTGAACGGTGGTCTGTTCTGGACTCTACAGTTGAAGTTTTTTGTGGACATGGCAGGCAACTCTCTTGTGATTCGTATTCTTGATACGTTCCAATGGGGCAGTCCTCACATATACCAAGGACCTTATTCAGGTATGTTCCAGATGTACAGCTTACTAAGGAAAGACAAAACAATAAAAGGATTTCAAGGCTACTCACCAATTACTTTTCCCCTAAGTTACGCGCGGAATTTTGGCTACTTACAGTCGGGATTTGGAAAGTGAGGTAAACTCTAATTAAAGTTTCGTATTTAACTCTGGTTAAGTAAACCAATATACCATATATAAATTTCCGTTTATTGTTCAAATGGAATCCATTTTTATCTCACCGCAGAGTTCTTCTTGGTACACTTGCCCTGTATCACATAATCTCTCAGGCTCTGAAATGTGTACCGACTTCTTATCGGGAACAAATACGGTGCCGTGGACGTTGAGGCTTAGGCTGCCATTTTCAACTGCCTTTTTGATCACGTTGGCGATGGTCCTGGCCATCCCAACTCCTGCCAATCCTGCCAATACCTTACTTTCCTTGGTGCCATTTACCCCAGTGCTATTATCAAGGCGCACTGTAGGGATAGAATGATAAAACAAATCGGGATGACGTACAATGTCGTCTTAAATACTAGCCGACAACCACGGTCTGACAGGAACGCATTACCACGTTTGCATTTGTTCCAGCATATGTCCCGTTTTTTTAGCGAAAAAAGCAGGAACTTTTATTCCAAGTTTGTGGTGTTCAATGTGCCCAAATTTAGTAACAGTGTGTAACTATATGAAGGGAAGAAATCAAATATTCTGTTATGCCGCTTACAACGCTCGTCACGGACATGTGATGATGGCGATGATGAGGAAGAGGATCTTTTTCACCTAATTTGAGATCACTCCTCTATCTAAGCTTACATCTATGTGTATCTGTTAAAATATAACAGATTTATCAAAAAATATTTATTGCCAAAAACTAGAAATAAACAGACAAATGAAATAAGCCTCTCGTCTTAAACCTGACTGATATGAGTGTCTCATTACTTTGGACAGAAAGAATAGCAAACTTACCAACAATATTAAACGTGATTGTTGTTTGAGGAATGAGGCGGGACGATCGTCGAGTTGTGCCAAACACTTTCAAGCAAATGTAGAACAAGGAAGTTAGATTCTTAAACTGAGAGGTAAACAACTCTTTCACCTATCAGCCAAGTTAACTTCTGGTAATAAAATTATAGTGCTTCGGTTCTTTTTCCTCTAAGCCAACAGTATCGTCAAACTTGTGGTCACTCATGGAAAGAATGAGCCCCACCTTCCTATCCGCTTTTCCTTAAATCCGGATAACTAAACGAAATTAAGCACTAATGTCAGGAGAGTAAAGTCTCAGTTTAAGCCTAAACCGTATTCATTTCCTGGGCCTAGTAAAACCCTTTATATACAGTTAATGGTTAATGGCAAAATGAATGAATGAAAAGATGAATGAATGAGCGAAGAAATGAGTGAGGGAGTGAGTTAGTGAGTGGTTGAATGAATGAATGAATGAATGAATGACTGACTGACTGACTGACTGACTGACTGACTGACTGACTGACTGACTGAATGAATGAATGAAAAAGGAATCATTGCTCCACGACATTTTGTTATATTTAGTTATATGTCCATTTAAAATTAGCGTCCTACCAGATGCACGTTTTACCCTTTTATACTCAGACGGAATTATATCACACGTGACGTTGACTTTTTCAGCCCTGCATTTATCTTTGTACCATGAGTGTTGGCAAGCAAAATAATATCTGGACTCGTTTAAGTTCTTGATGAAGATCTTTTTTATCTCTTCCTGAGTTGAGTTGCTACTGCAATTTCCTTCGAAGTAAGAAACACGGATCTCTACCTTTACTTGTCTGATATGTCTTGGTTCTGCAAAATAAATATTATTGGTTTGTTTGTTTCAGCTGCTATATCCTTTGTCTGCTTTTTTATCATTAAGAGAATATTAGAGTTGTTTTTCAGAAATTTTAACCAACCAACCTATGCCACTGATATTAATATTACAAAGGAAAATAAAGGGAGATGTAAAGAATCAACCATAAGGGGACACAGAAAAAATCTGAGCCCCAGATGGGATTCGAACCCACGACCCTCCGTGTTCTAGATCGGATGCTCTAACCTCTGAGCTACTGAGGACTCGTTGGCGAGCAAGGGTCACTTTTGTGGGTTGGACTTGCGAACCGCATATCGCAGTCACACAGTTCATCATGCTATTAATGTGACTGTGTGATACAGTTAAGCCTTAATGAGTTGCTTGTGATGGACTGTGTGACTGCGAGATGCGGTTCGCAAGTCCAACCCACAAAAGTGACCCTTGCTCGCCAACGAGTCCTCAGTAGCTCGGAGGTTAGAGCATCCGATCTAGAACACGGAGGGTCGTGGGTTCGAATCCCATCTGGGGCTCAGATTTTTTCTGTGTCCTCTTAAGGTTGATTCTTTACATCTCCCTTTATTTTCCTTTGTAATATTAATTTCAGAAATTTTAATATGGAAAATTGCAAAGCCAAGATGGTGTACCGTGAATAGTTACAAAGAAAAGCTTTGTACAGTGTTAGCTCTTTCATGAAGTAGTGTTATCGTGAAATCTTTTGACAAAACAATGTTCAGAATGATAAGGAATTAGACCGATCAATACAACGAATCATTTGCTAACCATTTGTGCCAGCATGGTACAGTACACATCTTAATAGTAGCCCTTTTTCTAGAAAAAGTTTGCCCTTCTTTTCTTCCAGTTGAAGCCTCTGACTTTTGAACGCTTTATTATAATTACTATTCTTTTATTTTGCCCCTTTTTGGCATGCTTTCAGCACATTTTGGCTTTTTTTGGCAGAGAAATAATTCATAAACAAGTAATTTAAAAGCTTATAATATAATGTCCCGAACTTTCGACGACCTGCTGATGCCGTTAACAAGCAATGAGTAAATGAGCGACTGAGGACCTCACTGAGTTCAAAAGAAGTTCAAGTCCTCTAAATTTACCAAGTTCCTTGATAATGGCGCCATGAAGTCACCGTAACTTAACATCATATCGTTAGTTTTTACTTGTTTATGTATCTCAAAATCATTTCAAACAGAAAATTAAACGTAAACATGCATATCATTTAGTGGCTGTTTTGATAGTCAACCAACATCTAACTCTCAATCATGTATCCAGCTACTGATAACTACGTGCTTCGTATAAACAACCTTCTTACCTGTACAGTCTGGCAAACGCGGGGATGGAAACCATTTTAAATCTGGTCCACAGGTCCATACTTTTGCTGATATTTCCCCACGGGGAAAGGTCCATTCTTTGTGACAAAATGGACTGCAAAAATGTCCGAAGATCCAGTTGTCACATGCCACGGCTCCACGCTTTGGAGGACTAAGTTCCTCACAGGCTTTCGCTAGGAAAGCATAAAAATTCAAGGCTTGAGATATTTCTCCACAAGCTGAAAATCACAACTGCAAATCTGGTCTGTATGATGTCTGGTCTGTATAAATTTATATATTATATATATTTGTGCCAGCTATAATTCTATGCCTGGTCATTTACAAGTTTTTGAGAGAACAAAAAAAAAAATAACTAAAAGGCACGAAGGAGGAGGACGTCCGCGAAAGAGAAAACCTCTTCTTCTCTCCTCGCGCGCGTCAAAGGGCCATTACGGAAGCTGCGAAAGGCAAGCGCGTGGACTCAGCGCTGAAAAACATTCGGTTGAGCGACTTACAAACGTGAACAATCTTTAGTAACTCTCGGGTCAGCCAGGTCGATCCTTAAGCGAAATGGCAATGCAGCCAGCAGTGCTTGTTTTTGGAGTTTTACTGCTGCCATGAACTTCGGGACTACCGAGAGCAGATCCAGCTAAAGGTCAGGGCAGAAATAAAACGCTAAACCAAACAATGCAAGTCCGACAGTCTAGGTAAGTGTACTCCCGTGGGAATGTCAGGCTGCAAACAAGCCGCCCATCTAAATATATTCAGGGCACCTCAACGAACGCAAAAAATTTTGGTGGCACTGTCGAAACTTGCACCGAGCTGTAATTCGCCAGCATAAAAACGAGGCTATGAGCCAGAAATGGTTATAACTTTCCACTGTTTGGATGAAATTGCTCCAAATTGGTAGAGATTACGTGCCTCAATTGCCTGACCAATATGCAATTCTACCGGGTTGTCAGCATGGCTACGTGATAAAGCTAGCATGGAAACGAGGTGCTAAAATAAAAATGGCTGTAACTGTCAACTATTTGAATGAAATTGCTCCAATGCTGATGAGATTATGTCCCTCAATTACTTTACTGATATTCAGCAGTTTTTTTCTGCATGAGCACGTGACAAAGCTAACATGAAAACGAGGCTCTGACTATACAATCAAGATAGCATTTTTCCGCTGGAAAAAATAACTAAAACATGTGAGTGTCATGTTTCTAGATTATACCAGACCATTTCGGTAATTAACATGGAGACATGGTTAAGCCAGAATGGAAATAAGTTAAGGATCCTAAGGTAAGCTTACTAGAGTTTTTACAACTTTTACAAAAAAGACAGACAGATCGAACCTGGCTTGGCTCGTCACATGCTTGCACAGTTACTAGTCATAAAAGTACTGTAACTGATACGATTTTTTACATTTGGCATAATGTAAAAGCCAACACCTTGTATGTAGTTCAACGATCAGCCTAACTATCGCTGCCATCACTCTTGTATTCCATGTCTTCGACTTCAGAATCGTCATCAAGCTGCTGGTTATCGCACAGATCGTCATAATCAGCACAGCTTGACAGGTCGGTGCACTTGAATCCATCTTTCCGGCAGTTTTACGTATTTGATGAACATCGGCTCTTTACTCAACCACACTTTACCGACTGGATGCATATGATAGCTTCTGATGCAGGAGGCAGAGACGTCATAACTGGTCAGTACCCATATGCATTTGTCGTCTTCTAAATGGCAGCCCGGTTTTGGTTCAAGCACGGTGTCCAAATTCCACACAAATGCTTGATAGTTGGCTCTCTTGATAGCCTGCAAAGTCCGCCTCTTCCTGACTGCTTCTTAGGTGTGTTACATCCCGGTGTGTTGCTGGACAGTTGTTTTCCCAGGTCACAACGACATTCGTTGCCCTACGTTCAGTTGGGTGTGTTACATCCCGGTGTGTTGCTTGACAGTTGCTTTCCCAGGTCACAACGACACTCGTGGCCCTGCGTTCAGTCGGGTCAAGTTGGCTGATAGATACTCCGTCAATTCCATCTTGGCTCTTTCGTGAGAGACTGGACGCTTCATGGTTACCTTGACAATGTTAGTGGAGTCCGTTATCCGGTAGTAGATTGGATGTTGATTGCCTTGCCTTCGTACTCGGTTAGAAGACTTAGTAGGGAAAGGAATGTCATATCTGTCGAAGACCAGGTGTAATTCATCGCTGTCACTGTTTTTCTTGAGTACCTGTTCTTTAAAATGTTCATCAAGGTGAGCACAGGTTTTTATGATGG